TTGCAGTTTTGATGGTTGCGGCGTAGATAGCTATTCCTTATTTTTCCGATTTGTCTTGAACAGGGTATGGATTTTTACTTTTTAGTGTCTTAAACAGGGTCAGGGATTTAGACCGCTGGCGGCACGTACCTATCCAAAACGTGGTCGAGTACCCCCTTCCCGGGTGGCCATTAACAAATGCATTATGGCTATGGTAGACACCAAGCCCTAGTGGAGCATAGGGCTTCTATCACAATGTCGCGGAATTTCCTTTGGACAAGATGTCAATAGCCACGCCTTTCCCGGTTATAATGTGCTATGTAAACTTTCACACAATAGTATTTTTCAGGATTCGATATAGCAACATATGTTTATAAGTGTCTCTCAATTGATTTTCATTATTGACAATATTTGAAGAGGGCCTTTGAGGTGGCAAGCCGCTTTCGTCAATTTTGCTTCATCTCTTGAATTTAATAAATTTTATTTTTCATGAAATGAGTTATCAAAAACACTAATGTTTTTATCACGAGAAAAAACTGCTGATCACAAACTTAACTATGGGKTCCAGTTGGAGAACAAAGAATGAATCCTAAGTCATTGCACCTTTAATTCAATAGGAAATTTGGTCACCAAAAGGATGCTTTATGTCGGTCAAGACCTGGTCTGTGTAAATTTCCTCTTGTCAAGATCAAATCCAGTGTMAAATGAATGCTGTTCTTAGCTTAAATTTCCTGCTTACTTTCCCTATGACTTTCCCTATATGGAATTATAATGAATGATTTTCATAAAAAAAATCCTCTCTGTGGGATATCTTCGACTAACCAATCACGTTACAGCAACTGAAAACGTGAATTAACGTCCCAGGTGAAAAATTTGCATATGACGGCCACAATAAGCAGACCCAGTGTAAATAGATAGCTCTTATTAACCTTTGCTATTCTACCGCTCGTTGTTATTTAAAGAAAAGGTGCATGATAGCCTTTCGCTTTCGAAAACTTCGCCTTCCTTCTGTATAAATTTTCGCATACATTTTTGTTAGCATGGTATGGTATATGACTATACAATTCTTTTGAAAACATAAGTCGTCTGCGTTTCGAAATTATTATTGACATTAGTTAAGAACTCTAAGATGGCGAACCGCTTTCGACAATTTCGTCTTCTCCTTTGGAAGAATTTCATTCTACAGGTAAGGTAATGAATAGGTCATTTGAATGTTTCTCCAGCCTTAATCAAGCCAGCTCAGTTTAGCGTTGATTGTGATACCCATTCTAGTAATTGAAGACCGGCGAAAATCTTCGGTTGCTATTAAGCTTACATAAYAATATAAAAYGACAAATCTTCGTTGCCAGTAGAAAGAATCTATTAACTAAAACCGTGTCCCTACATCCTGATAAGTTGCAAGAAAGCACWTTGCTGGGACTTATACAAATCACTTTAAAGAAAACGATCATAACAAACGAGAMTATACCTGTTCCCAAGTTGTTTGTATTTTAGACTGGAATCCATTGAGCTTTCGTTCAGTGATATGTTTAATGAAATCAACAAGAATTTAAAAAAAWCTCGTTTACGTAAGTCTATATTTTAACAATTTGCTTCACATAATATTGCCGAATTTCCAGCATTAGTGAATAGATAATGCAAACATCGATCGCGTGATATTTTCACTGACGTAAGCAACACGTAACTCTGTAGTAAAATGACAACAAGTTTAAAGATGTATTCCTAAGTGATCGAGATATTTCTATCTTCAGAATTATTGATTACACAATTTCATATCATATTAGAGCATTCAGATCTATGTATATTTACTAAGTTAAGCCTCTACTGGCTCTAGTTATATGGAACATGTCATATGAAATGCTTCCACTCTGAAGATACTCAGCCGCTTCCCTAGAGTTGTTTTTGACAATATATGATTTCATTTTAATTTAGCTTTATTTATCTTACCGACAATATACTGAGTTATCAGTCATAGAAATCAAGTTAAATTTTCGTTTAGAATGTTACCATGGCAACGAAAGTAATTTGTGCAATTCCCATTTAGTCGGATGCACTAATCAATTTCAATGAAAGCAATGTCCGAAAATGAAAACTTTATAGCAATTTAGGGAATAATAAGAATGCGCGAAAGAAAGGGTTTCCACTTTTTTATTGGACCATCTCCTAAATCCTTTAATCTCAAAATGTCCGTTTATGCATATGAGGTGCGTCTCTATAAATAACACCACGAAAACATTAAACTAAAAAATATCAGCTAGCCAAATAATTCAGCTTTGTAGCGTATATAAACTTCCTCCTGATCGTAAAGGTCAGTATCCTTAAACTTATCGCAGATAAATATCCACAAGAAAATGCACCTGTCGTCTGTCATACTTGTCATGTTGAAACTGTTGCCAATAGCGCTGCGCGGATATACTAAAAATAGATTTGAGAGATGAGACTCCCCACGGAGATTCGGACAAACAAGAGGTCAAGTTTGTAGTGAATGTATGTANTTTTCTGTCAAAACTTCTGCATTTTGGAGCAAATTTAATGATGCGCCTGTAAATTCTACATACATTTCTCTTGTATTGACCTCAACGTTTGTCCGAATGCAAGCGGGGGGTCGAAATCTGAGACGTAATATCCGCGCTGCGTTCCCAGACCCCGAGGGCCGGGGAAGCGCCGGGGAAGGGCCAGGGAAGGGTCGGGGAAGTACACTGTTTGGACACATTCGACGGGAACTAAGGAGGGGATCGGAAATTAAGGTCTAAAAATCAGAAGAAATGACCTCGGCAAATTCATACAAGAACAGTTATTTAGCAGAACAGACCCCGTCAGCACCTCCTGAAAGTTTTTGTCTTTACACTTCAGACGTTATTTCTAGTATAGCAGAGGAGGGGGGGTTCTGACTAATTTTCTGAAAATCTGGTTTTACGCCCCCCCCCCCCCTCCCCTCCGCCTTCCTGCACAGTCCCTTACACACAGTGATCGCCCACGTAAAACGTACAATCTTACCCATTTTTTTACATCATTTTAACGATTTATTATACACTATTAGTATTAACTGCCTATAGTAGCCAAGGCTTGGAGAATGCTGCAATATTATCTCTTTTGGAATGACTTGGAAATAATACATTGTATTTTTTAATCGAACCCCGTTTTATATGACGTAAGTTAAATACGTTATAGATATGAGATATACGTCATTTTTTATAGTGTCTCTATCGTCTTCCAATAATTTGACCCCATCCCATTTTATTTCGGCTATATCGGTATTTTGAGATATTTTTACATAACATTGAGTTTGTAATAATAAAAAATATAAAACAATCAATTTTGATAAGAATATCCGTCATCTTTGGATTCTCCATCTTTGGAAGTTTCAGTTTAAAACTCACTAAAAACTAGGAATTGAGGGAAATCGGTCAAAATGTAATGAACACTTATCAAACTAACATTTCATAACGAGAACCACTTCACGGAAYRTACCGTGTCCAGGTTACGCACTTTTACCAGYGCCGCGATCGATTTGATATATTTTGCGTATGATCGATCTTTTCACATCATTTTGTGAATATTTTTATCATTGATCATCACAATCTCGTACCCAGCGCCCTTGTCCCTCTTACTGCGCATGCTCGACGAAAAACAAGAGCTCTGGAAATATCAAACAHCGGAMGYCAGAAACTGGCTATTTCACCCATGCGCAGTAGAAACCCGATCTAACGGCTTTATTTTACTGATTTTGCTCAAGAAAATCGGCTAAATGAAAACCTTCGAAGTCAGAAAAGGGATTTTTTTAGACCTTAGATGATAAATCTATCTTCTTCGAAGCTATTTTGATATCTATTATGATCAGATAGTAGCAGACAGTGACGGTTAGTGATTATCATGGCGTGACGRTTCGTCGCCTCGTTGTATTCCATTTTATACTTAATTGATCATATTACTCTCAAATTCCTACTTCATAGACTTAATAAATGCTTTTAAAGGAAGAATTCAAGGTGAGGTAGCGAAATACAGAATGATTTGAGTGTTTTTCTCCGTGATATTTTCACTTCCGGCGGCAAGCTGTTTATTTTATGAGCCAATCAGAGAGCGAGAAATTTTCGAAATTTCCAGAGTCACTGTTTTTCGTCGAGCCTGTGAGCCTGCGAGTAAGAGGGACAGTGGCGCTGGGTACGAGATTGACTCATCCCTTGCCCATCGTCTTATGGGACGATAACTTACTTCCCACCCATGATATGCACAAAGGAACTCCGTAGATGAACTTACTCTTACGACAGTTAACGTCCTTAGTAAGAACGTAAGACTTACGGATCAAAGTAAAGATGAAAATCATAGGAAACAATGACTCACCGGTCCTAGGAAAGTAAACAATTGTGACATGCCAAACATTATAACACCAAATATCAGCCTTGTTCGAACGGCTCTCCATACTACCTTCCCGAGCGATGCATTCTTTAATCCAACTTTATCAACCTCGTAGTCCCACAGTCGTTTGATTCTTTGTCCGTTGTATTCCATGGTCTCATATGGAGAAAGCTTATCAAGATCCTCTGATTGTAAAGGCTTTTTAAAACCTTTCATAACAGTGTGTGATGCCCATGACATAAACATCAGTGAAAAGAATCCTGAATCATCAATTCTGGCTTTTTCCGGATTTCTACAAGAAAATAAAGGTGTGGATCATTTGTTTATTTTTATTTCTTAACCAGCAAAACCAATGAAATACATTGAATGGATCGGGTAAAAAGAGAAAAGCGTACCATCTTGCAAAACGCAATCCACAAAAATAAGGGTGGTATGGGCAGATAACAAAACGAAAAAGAGACTGAGCCCGAACTTGAAAATGTGATTAAATCATGGTTCCAGGAGGAATAGCCCCATCATCTCTGAGAGAGCGTGTCAATGGGGTTAACTGACTTTTGGCTGAAAAATTAGTAGTTCACTGACGTTGTGGCCAAAAATAGTAGTTAACTGACGAATGAAAATCGTATATTTAACTGACTTTCTTACAAACATTTAATTCAGGCGCGTAGAGTCCTTTACGCATATACGCCCCCCATATAGCCCCCCAATCCGAAATATGTGTCCTTGTCCCTGTCATGTGCGTATTTGCCAAAAAAGACCACGATACGCGCTTGTAATTGCGTCTTTTAAAAATCTACTGTCCAACAGTTTATAGGTGATGAAAGCATTATTAATGCAATTTATTTAATGCAATGGCATTCGATACAAGAGACAAAATAAACGCCTCCTCTCTATTAAACGCCCC